GTAAGCTTCCTCTTTTCCCAACTCAGCTCTGCCTTGGGCCCAGGACTAGAATTTTGCTCATCACTGGGTCCTCTGCTGCTTCACTTTTCTGCTAATGGATTCCTCCTCAGTCTCGCTGACAGAGAGCAGGTGTAAAGGCTTAGTGTTGCATGCCCCTTACTCTCTGGGCCTGCATTCGTACTGTGGGCTTGGAGAACCTTCAAAATCAATTCCTCCTCTCCTAGAGGACTTTTCAACTGCTTTCAGGCATTCTCTTACTGAGGATCTTCAACTGAGGCTGACTAGAAGCTGCAAAGTTTCTCCTGCTAGCTGATATAACTACTCTTCCTAAGCTTTGGGTATCTGATAGGTCCTTAGCTCAGGGTCTCTTTGCACCCCCACTCCTGGCAAACTTTTCAAGAGGGCTCCAGAGGATTTCTCCCTATTGCTCCCACAGGTAACTCCCGCTCATAAATGGGTGGCCTCTGCTATACATTTTCCAGGGATAGCTCACTCCCTTTCTCCTTCTGTTCTGCCGCATCAGGCATGGCCGGTCATGTTTAGTTTCTCAGGCATATACTGTTTACCAGGACCATATGTTCTCTAAATTTCAGGACACACATATTAATCTGAGTGACTCCCCTGAATCTCCTCTCAACTGCAAAAGAAGGCACATGCCTCCCACAACTAAGTCTTCTGATTCTTCAGTCCCTAGTCTTCAGGAATATAACTACTAGTACTAATTTAACTTAGTTTATAATCTCTCAGCAGGTTTTATCTAGGTAGTCCGGTAATTTGCTTTATGGTTTCTGTGTGGTTCCTGCCAATGATCAGGAGCATCTTTAAATAGTCTTTTAAGTCTCTATCACAACTCTGTGACCACAGAAAAAGGGATTTATCCACTCATTACATGAGGGCCTATAGGCCCTGTACGCATATCCCTTCCTTCCCTGTATTCTTGGAAACTTGACTGAATCACATATCATCTGGAAATCTAGTTGTAGAGCTACATTAATAATATCTTTCTTGCCAGCTTGATGGTCTTTTGTGAAGAATAAACACAAATATGGGTGGAGAAATACTTTATACATAAAAAGTCTAATAGAGAAAAATGTAACTTATTAAAATATGAGAATAACATTTTCATCAAAAATAAAAACACTTCAGTGGATTTCCTTCCTAACTGATACTCTAAAGCTGGTAGGAAGGACAGAATTGCTATGGCCATCAACAAAAAGACATAGAGAAGGCAAACATTATTATACATCTTCTGTTAAACCTCAGACTTGACCACTATAGTGCATAGAATCTAGGGGAAGAAATGTTTGAGGGTCCTACACCTTAATTTCATTTTACCTCACTTTTTCCTACCATCCAGAGAGACCATTTTGAAATCAAAAGTAAAAGTCTTTTAAAGGTGAAAGACGCTAAGTACATGCCAAGCAATGCTTGTGTTGCCCAACTCTCTTGTTCCAGTCACAGTCATGCTAAAAAAGCATGGGTTCCGGGAGAGTGGAGTAAGGTGATTACTGACTGAGTTGAGCATCAGACTCAACAGCTCCACCCATATGCTAGCAAAGGACCAACAGGGCAGCTTGGTGCAAAGGACGAGGAGTGGGTGGAAACTGAGAAACCTCAGATTGCTGCTCAGAACAAGGCTGTAAGGCAAGGGAAAAATCTGAGGGCAGACAAAAGAAAGTGAGAGAGAGGGAGACAGAGGGAGAGAGAGAGAAGGAAAGAAAAAAAGAAAGAGAGAGAGAGAGAGAGAAAGAAAGAAAGAAAGAAAGAAAGAAAGAAAGAAAGAAAGAAAGAAAGAAAGAAAGAAAGAAAGAAAAAGAAAGGGCTGTTGTTACAGTTTGAATTTGAAATGTCCTCCAAAACTTATGTGATGAAGGCTGGGTTGCTAGCTGATGGGCTTTCTGGAAAGTGAGTAGATCACCAGGGCTCTAACTTCATCAAGTGGTTTAATCCATTGATGGGATAATAATCTGATGTCATTATTGGGAGGTAATGGCAATAGGAGATGGGGCCTCGTTGAAGAGAGTAAATTGTGGGGATGAGTGACCCTACACTGTAATACACAAAGGAGTAAGAACCCTAGCAGTTAGTAAAGCCCAGAGTGTGTCTGTGGATGACTGACATGTAGAATGCAAACTGAAGAGAGAAGACATTGGCACTGGCTGGTGCCAGATGTGGGTGGTACTAACCAATAGGCTTGTAGCCTGAACTGAATAAAAAGGGAAAGAAGGAAGAAGTTGTCCTTTTTTCTTGGGATGACCTCCAATCTTTGCCATTGCCTTTGGAAGTTTGTCTCCAGTTCCTTCAGGCTTCCAGTGCAGACTCTTGTACCTCCCAACAGAGACCCTTCCGCCTTCCAGCACAGACTAGCACCAGACTCTGTAGCGAGCTCCAGGGCCTCAATCTTCCACAGAATCCTCCAGCTCTCCAGTGGCAGACATTTTTGCATTTTTGCATTTTGCATTTTTCCACTGCTGATCTGGCAGCCATTGAGACTCTTCTGCCTCTAGTCTTGTAGGCCTACCTAGCAAATCCTCTGTATAATCATGCTTTTTAGATAAATCTGTTCCTTAAGTGAGTCCTAACTAATACAGGGAACTGTATCTGATCCCCCATCACCTCCTTTCTGGCTCCTTTTCTCTTTTCTTCTTCCTGGCTGCTATAAGATGAGCAGCTCTCCTGGACTCTGCCTTCCACCACGATGTTCCTGCTCTCCACAAACCTGAAACTCTGAAACTGTGAGCCAGAAGAAATCTTTCCTTTTAGAGTTGATTTTCTCAGGTATTTTTGACACTGATTAAAAAAATTGATGAACAGAGATGCAATGAGAAATACCTTGCTTTAAAGCTGCCTTGGTTTCTGTAAGTTTATTCATTCTATATCGAAGCTTCTGTAACTTTATAATAAATCTATTTTTCAGGCTGTTCTTATTATTCTCTGCCCAAGGAGAGAATAGAAAGGGAAGAAATTGCACTGCCACGGTGAGATAATCCGTTGCTATTACTCTGAAGAACACATATCCTTCCAGAACAATTTCCAGTATAGAAATATGTATCTGCCTAGCTTGTGGGGGCAGAATATGATACAAACTAGTCTTCTCATCACATTCACATCCATCATTGTCCTAAGCAGCTCTTCAGGCCCCAAATCCACCTGCCCAGGCTGAACTGCGTCTTCATCTAGCCCCAAAGCCTCTGACATTGTAGAACACAATTTGCTAGTCTTTTAGAAGTTGAGCTCCTGCCTCATGTTTACTGGACAGATACCAAAGCAGACATATTGTAACTCACACACAGTAATTCACACAGAAACTAGAATGTAATGCATATTCATTTTGTAACTGGGTCACACAAATGTTATCAGAATATTAATAGCACGTTTTAATTTCTTGACACTCCACTTGAGTGTTTTGTTCTTGAGACAAGAACAAAAGACTCAAGTTCAAATTTCAATCCATTCCCCAGCTGTGTGACTTTGAGTAAATTTGTTAATTTCTAGGACTCTCTTTCCTCCCTGTAGAAGATTGATGATAATACCTACCATGGGTTACTGTGGAGACTAAACAAGACCTGTAGCAAGCTGCTACTGCAGCAGCAACAACACTGCCATAGTAAAAATTTCTTGAGTGCTTGCTATATGCCAGTTTGGATGTTGAATGTCCCCCAAAATTCCATACATTAAAGGTTTGGCCCCCAGGGTGGCATTATTGGGAACTACTCATGACCTTTAAGAAGTATGTCCTAGTGGGAGTTATGAAGTCATTCAGGGGTGCCACTAGGCCATTAGGGATATGTTCTCAAAAGGGGCTATGGAGCCCCAGTCTCCCAATGCCTCTCTGCTTCCTGGCTCAGAATGTGACCTCTCACTGACATGCATTCTCACAATAGGATGCCAACCTCACCAGAGCCCTAAACTAATGGAGTCACCTGAGTTTGGACTTGAACCTCCAGGTCTGTGAGCCAGGATAAACCTCTCTTTACTTCAGAACACCCATGGCAGGTATCTCATTATGCTGACTGTATTAGTCAGCTACCCATCACTGTGACAAAATGTCCGAGATAAAAACTTTGGGACATAAACAACTCATTTTGGCTTATGGTGTCAGAGGTTTCAGCTGATAGTAAGTTGGCTCCATTGCTTTCATGGCAGAAGGTCGTGGCAAAGGAAAGCTGCTCACCGTTGGGAGCGGCTAAAACTGGACAGTAATCACACATGCAGGACTAAGCCAGTCCAAGAACACAGGAGCTCCTTGAAGCACATAAACAAGCCCTTGTAGCTTGTTAACTGATTACTAGGCAGGGAGACTGAGATTAATCAACTTCATAAATAAATAAATATATAAATAAATGCTCTGCTGTTCTTGGTCAGTTCCCCTTCTCCACTCAGGAGAGAGAGGACCTCCGCCTGACCCCAGCTTTTTGCCTCTTGTCTATTTTTCCCTCATTCTCACCACCATTCTTTCCCAGGGTACAGCAAGAACCCAACAGACCCGTACATAGCAGCCAGGAAACAGAGAAAAGAGAGAGACTGAGAGAAAGGGGTCATTAAGCAAACACAGTCCCCAAGGTTATGCGCCCTTCACATAGGCTCTTTGTCTCATTTCCAGCATGCCCCAGTAAAGTCATCAAATTATGATCTCATCAATCTTCTACTGATGACACTGAAGGTCTCATCCTCCAATCACTTCCCATAAGGCCGTCAGCAACCAAGCCCTCAACCCTATTTGCCTTTTGGGAGATACAGACCCAAATCGTAACATTTGGCAAAAAGATAAATAATATAGCCAGACACTATGTTAAGCACTTGCTTTATTTAATTCCCCCAATAACCTTATGAAGTAGATGCACTGCATAGGTAAATGTGCTGAAGCACGGAGTGGCTAGGTCATCTGCCTACGTAAGTAATCTAGCTAACGAGGAGTACGATGCTGAAAAATGCTCCTCACCTTACTTTTTCATGTTTCATTATGACAAAGACGTTAGTATTTTTCAGCAACTACTTACTGGAGGTTCATCAGTTCCAAGTCGCCAGTATGTTGAATTACACAGTTTTTTCACTTTCTCAGGACCCTCTATATCATAATCTTTGGGAAAAGCTTCTCTGTTATGATGCCTGAAAAAAATTAAGTGTCTGTTAAGGGATGAATTTTATTTATCGTGCATTGCTTTTAAATTTTAAAAATCATCTTATTATGGCTTGTGTCTAGATGTCCCCCTAAAGTCTCCTGCAAAGGTGGGACTTTTTCAGAGGTGGCTAAATCTAGTAAGTGTGACTGATTCATGGTGCAACGTCGGGATTAAAGGTGCTGGAATTAAAGTGAGTGATTACTAAATCAGTCCACCGATTGGTTTGTTACCATGCTAATCCCATAGCCTCGATGCAATATAAGGGACAGAAAGAGGCTTGTCTTGTCTCTTGTCTCTGCCTGCTCACTGTGGACTATTTCTATTCTCGATGCCCCTCTGCCTCGTCACCCTGCCTTGGAGCCAGCCGATTATGGACTGAAACCTCTACAAACTGTGAGCTAAATAAACCTTTCCTCTCTTGTGGGTATTGGGTATTTTGTCTCAGCAAAGAGAAAAATCACTAAGACACATCCAAGGAAGACTTACCGTATTTGTGGCACGGTGTTCATTACAAATTTGTTGAATTTGTGAGAAGTAAAACATATTCCATCTCTTTTCAGGTAATGCCAAGGCTACTATCTAAAAGCAACTTATGTGATAAAACTAATAATATTGCAGAAGTACAACTTATCCAACACAGTAATTATTCAGTAACTCCATTGAACTGAATCTTATTTAATAATGTATATTAGTTGTTGACAGTAAATCTAAAATAAGACATGGTAATATCTTAGAAAGGCAACTTGCCACTTTAGAAATTCTCTCTACCGTGAATTTTAATTACAATTTTTTTCAGAATGAGCTAGCAAAGTATTTGTTCATATTGATTTACAACCAATGCTCACTGCTTCTAAAGATCATCTAGGGGAAGCTGACAGTTAAACATAAGTTTAAAAAACATTTGTTAGAAATATAGATGAAAAAGGAAAAAATACTTTAAATATCTTGGCTAAAAGAGTCTGTAGGAGTAATTTTTAAAAGGAGGGATTTGGGGATAAGGAATGAAAATGGGCTATTGTGGCTGGCAATAGAAGTAGCTGTTTTCCTAAGTGAAATAAAGGAAGCTGAGACCAACCATTTCTCAGAAGAGGCCTCTATTAAGGCTAGGACTGTGTAAGAGACACTCAAGTATCCAAGATTCTATCCATCCTTTTGTTCATTCAGCAAATATGTTCAAGGATCTACTGCTATGGCTTGAATATAGTTGAGCTTTTCTTTGTTTCCATTTTCCCTAAAATGATTAGAGAAGTAATAACAATACATCCTAACATTTTCATATTACTTAAGCTTTTAAAATAAAGGGAAATAGCCAGGCGTGGTGGTGCATACCTGTAATCCTAGCACTCAGGAGGCTGAGGCAGGAGGATCATGGCAAGTTTGAGGCCAGCCTCTGCTATAAAGTCAGCTCAAGGCCAACCTGATCTGCATAGTGAGACCTTGTCTCAAAAAGACAAAAAATAATAAAACAAAATAAAGGGAAAGACCCTTCATATACTATAAAGCATCACAAATGCTTATGTAGAGTAAATACTAATCAAGTTGGTTATATCAATTTATACTTTATTTTTTATAATTGAACTTAATTTTTCCTCCAAGCCCTATTTGCCTGGCGGGGGGACTTTAATCTTGCTCATTTCAGGGTTTCTTCCAGCCCTAAAGGGGTTTGTGGTACCATGACACCAAGAATCCACCTATGCTGTCATTGTTGCTTTTTTTTTTTTTTTTGGTAACGGGAATCGAACTCATGACCTCAGGCTTGCCAGGGGTCTACATAAGGAGACTCTCTGAGATCAGACAGGCAGGTAAGTGCTTATGCCACTGAGCTATACCCCTGGCCACTGTCATTGTTGCTTCTTGCCTGCTTCAACAGAAGCATCCTCATTCCCCAGTGGTCTTCCATCATGGATCCATCGAAGATGCTGAGCATTGCTTCATACATTTCTTACACATTTGTATGTCTTCTTTTGAGAAACATCTGTTTAGGTCTATTGCCATTTTTAAAAGAGCTATTGGGGAGGTTAGTGGGTTTTTCTTTTTCCTGTTGAAATGTTTTGTTATGTCTGGTCTGGTCTGATTTGCTTCGGTTTGGTTTGGTTTTGGTTTTCGGTTTTTTGAGACAAGGTCTCCTTATGCAGCCCAGACTAGCCTCAAATTCTCAATCCTCCTGCCTCAGCCTACTGTGTGCTTCTCAGAAGCTATTGAGTTTCTTGAGTTTCTCACTGTCAGAGTCACTCACTGATCCCTGGACACGATATCTGACACCCACAATTTAAGGGAGAAGAGGATTATTTTGGCTCATAGTTTCAATCCGTGACATGCTGCCCCTAAGACAGAAAGAGAACGGCAGATGGGTACAGCGGAGGAAAAGATGCTCAACCGATGGCAGCCAGGAGCCAGAGAGACAAGGGAGGAGCTGGGCATGAGAGTACACCCTTTCAGGTTGCACCCCAGGGGATCCCTCCAAGAAGGCCCCACTTCCTAGCAGCAAGCCAGGTATGAGATCCCCGCGATGCAGTCACTCTCCAAATACACATGACATCTGGGAGCCATTTCAGATATAAACCATAACATACATATTCTGAATACTAAATCCGTGTCAGAGGCAAAGTTTGAAAATATTTTCTCCCCTTCTGTACATCTCCTCTCTACTCTGTTGTTTCCTTTGCTGTGCAGAAACCTTTCAGTTTGACAAGTCCCATTATCTATTATTGGTTTTGTTGCCTGTGCTTCTGAGGTCTTATTTAAGCAATCTCTGCCCATTTCAATGTGCTGAAGCATTTCCCCTACATCTTCTTCAATTAGTTTCATAGTTTCTGGTGTTGCATATACACCTTTGACGTATTTGGAGTTGATCTTTGGAATTTGTGAAACAGAGGTCTAGTTTCATTCTTCAGCATGTGGATATCCAAATTTCTCAGCACCATGTATCGAAAATACCATTTTTCTCATGCATTTAACTTCTAAAATGCTGCGATTGGCCCCCTAAATTTAGTTTACAGACATTAATGGGTTGAGTCTACAATCTGAAAAATATTGCTGTAGACTATCAGTCATCCACCATGTTTGGGGAGGAGACCAATTTGAACTCCTGCAGACCGACAGACATCTAGTAATACTTAGAGACATTTTCAGTCCTGGCATCTGGGAAGGGTAGATTCCTGCCAGTAGCTGTCAGTGATGCTGCTAATCACCTTGCAAAGCACAGGAAGCCACCCACAAGAAAGGTATCCAGCTCCAAATGTGATAATGAGGTTGAGAAAGCTCTACAGAATAAGTGCATCCGGGTTCTTAGGTCTGTAGTTCCAAACCTGAGTGCTTCATGAAACAACCAAATTTCTCCCCTAAAATGGCTGGGGCCAATATAAAGTTTCCAACTGTTTTGATAAGAACATTCAAAATAATCATCTACCACCTTTAATAAGAGCTCTGACATCAAAATTTACTAAAAAAAAAATCTTATAGTCCTTCAAACTCAATAATTTGGCAATATGAAAAATATGTTACCTGGTCATCAGACATCCTGTTTTATTTTGGAATAATAGGAAAAACCATAGCTGACTAGCCCTAGTCAAGCTCACAGTCTTTTGTAGATATTAATTCATCCAGACTCACACTTAACAGGATCTGATCAACACTGATTTCAAGGCCTGAGGCTCTTGAATAAAGGTATTTTGTGTTGCTGACTGAGGGAAGCACTGGGCCTCTGAGGTCAGACAGGCAGGTGCAAGCTGATCATCTTGCCACAAGGAACAGCCACCGGGTTTCTTGCCAGTGGTGCTAGAATTTTCCTTAAGAAACAGCCTTGCTTCTGCTGAGGACCTTGCTCTGCTGAGGACACATGCCCTCTGTTTTAACTCCATAAGGAAGGAGCAGAATGCTATGGCTACGTCTTTATGAGACTGCTTTATGTGAGACATCTTTAATTACCAGTAGATGAAATATGTCTTTTCTATCCTTCTGTTTAAGAAATGATACACCAATTGTTAAACATAGCATATGGGCGTCCATTCCTTTCTGCCCAGGTGCCAGCACACCTGGCAAACCAGAATGGAGTCGCTTGTGCTAAGTGCTATGTAACCCAAATGAGCTTTGAAAGGGGCCTGTTTTCTAAAAACACGGTTTTCAAAAACCTCAGTCCACTTGAGTCTGTGTGGTAGGGAAGCCCCCTCTATCTTAACTCCACAAGGAAAGCAACTTGAAATGACCAATCCACTTTTGGTTCTTTGTTTCTGCTTTCTTCCACCTTTTTCTACCTATAAAGCCAATTTTCTTTACTTGGTTCAGTGGAATACTGACTCTATTTCTCAGAAAGAGATACTGCCTGCTTCCAGAGTTACAGATGAAAGCCCATTCAACCTTTAAATTAAATTAGCTGTAATTGTGTGTTTTAATACTATGACTAGAATCAGGACTAGGGAGAGGGCTGATGGGACAGAATCCAAGCTGAAAACTATTAAAAGGAGTTTGGACACCTGATCCTGTAGTCAACAATGTTATTTGGAATGGTTTTAAGAGAGTTCAGGGTACGTCCAGGAAGGCAGAGACCACCACAAGTAGGTCTCATTCTGGATAAGCGCACAACATGCAGAGTTGGTACACAGGTCACAGCCACCCTCTGGGCACCCAGTATTCTGAGCCCACAGACCTCAAATTCTCTGTCTCTCTCATCCCAGGCTTAACACGTGTCATTTTAAGTCATGACATGTTACAGAGATCTGTTGAATCAGTTTGTAGACCGGGAGTTCCTCCATGAGAGCTGGGTAATTCCACATGAACTCAGGTCTGCAAGCCCTCTTTAAGTAAATATATTTCTGAAGTGAGTTTCAGGACTGAACAATCTTGAGACCAGGCTTGTATGCCAAACAGTAACCCACAGCATCCCCAGACAGTCCTGTGCCAGGAGGGCCCAGCTCCCTGTGCAGGACCCAGTGGGATTAGGCCATGGGAATCTCCTCACTAGAATGGGGACAAGTTACATTGTGGGTG